TGGTTACTTCATCTACGTTATGTCACTAAATAATTAACAACATTGCACACGTTCTCTCACACACACACACAATTATGCAAATAAATATTGCTAGGGCCAGGCAAGTAAATTACCTGTGTTGGGAAAACATAAGCTTATATATGACAGTAATCTTAATTCCGTAAAATCCTTAAAAAAAAAAAAAGTGTGTAAAACTGAGAACCAGATAGGAAGGAGAATGGGAAGAGATGGGAAAAGAGGGCTGTAGGAATGGTAATAGATGAGGAAGGAAAAAAGAAGGAAAGAGAAAAATAGTCTTCAAATTGGGCATGAGTAAGAAAAAAAGGATTTTAGCCTATAAAATAAAAGTATCTCTAATCCTTAATCCTGTAGAACCACTGGGTGTTAGAGAAATAAATAAAAAGTGCAAGAGAAAGAATTGGAAAGAAAGAGAGGAAAAGAGGAAATAGAGAGAGGAGAGAGGAGAGAGAGAGGAGAGAAAGAGGAGAGAGGAGAGAGAGAGGAGAGAGAGAGAGAGAGAGAGAGAGAGAGGAGAGAGAGAGGAGAGAGAGAGAGGAGAGAGAGAGAGAGGAGAGAGAGAGAGAGAGGAGAGAGAGAGAGGAGAGAGAGAGAGGAGAGAGAGGAGAGAGAGAGAGGAAGGAGAGAGAGGAGAGAGAGAGAGGAGAGAGAGGAGAGAGAGGAGAGAGGAGAGAGAAGAGAGAGGAGAGAGAGAAGAGAGGGAGAGAGAGAAGAGAGAGGAGAGAGAGAAAGAGAGGAGAGAGAGAGGAGAGAGGAGAGAGAGAGGAGAGAGAGAAGAAGAGAGAAGAGAGAGAGAAGAAGAGGAGAAGGGAGAAGAGAGGAGAGAAGAGAGGAGAAGAGAGAGGAGAGAGAAGAGAGAGAGAGTGAGAAGAGAGAGAGAGAGAGAGAGGAAGAGAGAGGAGAAGAGAGAGAGAGAAGGAGAGAAGAGAGAGAGAGAGATAGAGAGAGAAGAGAGAGAAGAGAGAGAGAAGAGAGAGAGAGAGAAGAGAGAGAGAGAAGAGAGAAGAGAGAGAGAAGAGAGAGAGAGAAGAGAGAGAGAAAGGAGAGAGAGAGAGAAGAGAGAGAGAGAAGAGGAGAGAGAAGAGAGAGAGAGAAGAGTGAGAGAGAAGAAAGAGAGAGAGAGAAGAGAGAGAGAGAAGGAGAGGAGAGAGAGAGAGAGAGAGAGAAGGAGAGAGAGAGAAGAGAGAGAGAGAAGAGAGAGAGAGAAGGGAGAGAGAGAGAGAGTGGAGAGAGAGAGAGAGATAGAGAGAGGAGAGAGATAGGAGAGAGAGAAGAGAGAGAGAGAGAGAAGAGAGAGAGAGAGAGAAGAGAGAGAGAGAAGAGAGAGAGAGATAGAGAGGGAAGAGAAGAGAGAGAGAGAGAAAGAGAGGAGAGAGAGAGAGAGGATAGAGATAGGAGAGGAAAGAGGAAGGAGAGTGAGAGAGAGAGGAGAGGAGATAGGAGAGAGAGAGGAAGAGAGAGAGGAAGAGAGTTCGAGTGAGAGAGAGAGAGAGAGAGAGGACGGTAGAGAGAGAGAGAGTAGAGAGAGAGGATGAGAGAGAGAAGACAGAGTAATAGAGGTGAGAGAGAGGCAGAAGGAAGAAGAGAAGGCAGAAGAAAGGAGTAAGAGGGTAAGAGAAGTGGGTGACGTGACGAGAGTACAGATAAGAGATGAGAGAGGAGTGACGAAGAGGGACGACAGAGAATGCAGAGAGATGAGACAGAGAGGGAAATCATCCCCGGGTCATGAGAGAGGAGAATGACCAAGAGAGGAGACGAACAGATGACGAGTAGACAGTAGAGAAGAGACAGCAAGGGACAACAGAGGACAGAGCGAGACGGAGACAGTAGAGCAAGGGGCGAAGAGAGAGGACCGAGAGAAGAGGACCAGACGAAGGACGTACGAAAGATGGGACAGAACAAGACAGGATACGTAGAGAGAGAGGACAGAAGTAGAGAGGACAGAATGAGAGAAGAGAGAGGACAGACAGAGACAGGAAGAGAGGGCAGGAAAGAGATGAGACAGGAAGAGGTGCAGAGTATGACGACTACGAGAAAGATGAAAGAGGAGGAATGAGAGACAGATAGAGACTAGAGAGAGGAAGAGAGGAGCAGGACTAGAGGAAGAAGAGGACGAGGATGAGAGTCGCTAATGTAGAATGTACGAGTATACTTGATGATTCTAATCAGATGATAGATCTAATGGGGTCTATTTTCTATTATATTATCTCATAGAGAGTCAGATGATTCTGAGATTCGTTATTAGATAGATGGATATAGATATATGGGTATGAATGAGATAGGAGATTAAGAGTAGGATGAGTAGATGATGAGCTATTAGTGTACGAGATAATGAATATTACTTAGAATAGTTTTCTCTTATCTATTATATAGTGGAGAGAGAGAGAGTAGTTTAAGAGAGGCTGAGATGAGATCGGAGAGGCGGAGATATTAAGATGAGATAGATGAAGTAGATATAGGAGAAGAGTAGAGAATAATGTGAGAGAGAGAGAGAGAGGAGTTAAGAGAGAGAGGGAGTGTAGGGAGAGGAATAGAGAGGAATCAAGGGAAAACTGACTCAGGATTCTTTAAGGAGATAAATGAGAGAGAGCTGAGCCGATGAGATGAGGAAGGGAGAAGTGAGAGGCAGAGCGAGTGAGAGAGCAGGAGATGAGGTGAAGGTACGAGAGGAATAGAAGTGGCAAAGAGAGGAGAGAAGGACGAGAGAGTGAAGTTAGAGAGAGAGAATAAGAGGAAAGATAGAGAGGATGAGAGATAGAGAAGAGAAGGGGAGAAGAAGAGAGACGGAGAGAGAAGAAGGAGAAGAAGAGAGGAGGGGAGAGAAGAGCAGTTCGGTGAGTGAGAGAAGAGAGAGAGATGAGAGAGTGAGCAGCAGAAGAGAGAGAGGAGGGATGATGCAGAGACGAGGGTAGGATCGAAAGACGAGAGCGAGAGAAGATGAGAGGGATAGAGAGTAACCGAGAGAGAGAGAGTAGAGATGCTGACGAGACGAGAGAGAAGAGAGGAGAGGAGAGCAGGAGGGAGAAGAAGGGAGGAAGAGAGCTGAGGGTCGGAAGAGAGGAGAGCGGGGCGTGAGAGAGGAGGAGAGGTGAGAGAGCCGAAGGTCGCCTGAGAGAGAGAAAGAGAAGGAGAGGGTATACCCGGGATGGAGGTGGAAAGCAGAGAGAGAGGAGGAGAGGAGCGAGGGGGGATGGTGAGAGGAGTGAGTGTGCGAGGGGAGGCGAAGTTGAGAAGAAGAGAGGAGAGGAGAGGAGCGAGAGAGAGAGTGAGATGATGAATGAGAGAAGAGAGAAGGTGGAGAGGAGAGGAAGAGGCGGTGGTGAATGAGGAGAGGAAGTGAGAGAGGAGGAGGCATGGAGAGAGAGAGGGGTGGTAGAGTGAAGGGAGGAGTGGAGAGGGAGAGGAGAGTGAGAGAAACGAAAGAGAGTGTGAGAGAGAGAGAGGAATGAGAGAGAGTGGAGAGAGTGAGATGAGAGAGAGAGGAGAGAGAAGAGAGAGAGAGTGGAGAGAGAGAGAGAGGAGGAGAGAGAGAAGAGAGGGTTGGAGAGAGGATGAGAGTGAGAGAAGAGAGTAGGAGTGGAGAGGAAGAGAGAGAGAGAGAGAGAGCAATGAGAGAGAGAGAGAGAGAAGAGAGAGGGAGTGGAGAGAGAAGGAGGAGTGGGGAGAAGAGAGGAGTGGAGAGGAGAGACAGAGAGGAGTGGGAGTGAGAGTGGGGTGGTGGAGAGAGAGAAGAGAGGAGTGGAGAGGAGAGAGAGAGAGTGGCGAGAGAGAGAAGAGAGGGTGAGAGAGAGAGAGAAGAGAGGAGTGGGAGAGGAGAGGAGAGGAGTGGAGAGAGAGAGAGAAGGAGAGGAGTGGAGAGAGAGAGAGAAGAGGAGGAGTGGAGAGAGAAGAGAGAAGAGGAGTGGAGGAGGAGAGAAGAGAGGAGTGGAGAGAGAGGGAGAAGGAGTGGGGAGAGAGAGAGAGAAGAGAAGAAGAGGAGTGGAGAGAGGAAGTGAGGAGTGGAGAGGAGAGAAGAGAGGAGTGGAGGAGAGAAGAGAGGAGTGGAGAGAGAGAGGAGGAGAGATAGAGAGAGGAGTATGGAGAGAGGAAAGAGAGGAGTGAAATGGAGAGAAAAGAAAGAGGAAAGAGCGGAGAAAGAGGAGGGAAGAGAGAGGAAGTGAGAGAAAGAGAGGAGAGAAGTGGAGAGAGAGGAGATAAAAGAGAGGAGAGAGAGAGAGAGAAAGGATGAGGGAGAAGAGAGAGATGAGGAGAGAGAGAAAAAGTGAGGGAGAGAGAGAAATGAGAACCCAGCGTCATTTGGGATGGTTTTATTTTTTGTAATAAATTAATTGATGTCAAAAAACAGATCAAGGAGTAGAAAGTAGAAGAACTTAACTGATTGAGACAGTAAGAAAGGCAAAATATAGAGTAAAAGTGATGTTTTAGTAGTAAAATTTCTTATCCAGAATTGATTTAATTGTTAAGGGTTAATATTTGGAAAATCTTTGGACATTAAATAAGTAAGAGAAAGTGTATGAATAGAAGGATTGGAAGCCAGTTAGTCAAAAGTTAGGAGAGTGTGAGTAGAGAAGAGGGCTGCAGAGTTAAGAGTCAAAAGAGAAGTTAGTAACTGAGTGGGGGGTCGGGGTGGAAAGAAAAAAGGGGGGGGGAGGAGAGGGGGGGGATGAGGCTTCCCCTCCTTGAAAACGAAAAGGGGGGTTTGGAATTTAGAAATGATTTTATTGCAAAGACAACCTAACTTGAAATGCTTCAATTAAAAGTTAACAGATAAAAAGGGAGTAAATTTAATTTGTTTGGGGGGAATGTTGGTTAGTGCAGTTTTTGGTTGAACCGAAAAAAGATAATTTTAGGCCAGCTGTGTTTGAAAGGGGAAAGGGCATAAAAGGAGGCAGAGAATAGCTTCAGAGATTAACCCTCAATGGGAAAATCTAAAGCTATACCCTTTCTATGGTCCTACTAGACAGACCCACAATGAGCCTTACTTTTCCATCCATGGAGCTCGAGTCTTGCGAGAATATGCGCCAGAATACAGGCTGCCTCCAGCTGATCGTGTGCCTCGTGCAAACTCTACCAGGACCCTGTAAAGCAAGACAGTGACTGGCTCAGACATCTGCTGGCGACATCTCCCCTTCGCAGCGTCACATCTTTCACCTTACATCATGACGCCTGAGCCACAGTGTTATTATCAGAGTAACATCATGCAAAAAAAATCTCTATTTTTAATGTTTAAATACTGACCCTATAAATGTACTGGAACAACTATTTGGGCATATATAGGCTTTCCCATACATAATACACTATCAAATCTTTTTATACATAAATTTAACTTGAAAGCAAAATACAATCCCAAGTAGTAATCCATGGATATTATGTTCATGCAAGAACTTAACTGCCACTTTTTCATTTATTGTACAAAAGCACCTCTAAAATATAGCAATAAAAAGTCGACCTCGTATTTATAGTCTGCAAAAGCGCTACCTTCTCCCTGTTATTTATGTGTTATATGGGGTCACTACACTTTCTTAACCCTTTCACTGTCAGTCCCGTAATATTATGGCTTGCAAACCAGTGTCGATCCAGTAATATTACGGCTTGCAAGCCAGTGTCAGTCCCATAATATTATGGCTTGCAAGCCAGTGTCAGTCCCATAATATTATGGCTTGCAAGCCAGTGTTAGTCCCGTAATATTATGGCTTGCAAGCCAGTGACGGCCCCATAATACACGTACTATGCCAAAATTCTAGCAGCTTCCAATCTTGCAGGAGAAAGCTGGTAGGTCTACACGAGAGAATGGGTCTGAGTGGTCAGTGTGCGCAGTAATAAAAAAAAAATCCTATGGCACACAGTGCAAAATGAGGAAAAAACTCTGACCGCATATAGGTTTAAAACACCGACTGTGTGGTGAAGTTTTGTAAAGAATTTATGGTTGTATTCTCGTTTTCAAGGTCTCATTTGATAGAATAGAAGATATATTACAGAAATAGAGATGATTCTGAATGGTTTGCAGACTAAGAGTACTGTACCTTGAAACTGAGCTCAAAGTAGCAGAAATGTTCGATTTTTGCAGATGTTGAAGAGCAAACAAATTACATCACACGTCAACTGGTGGGTCTAATATGCTTTCACAAATGCGCTGATATTATTTATACCATTTTTACAATAATGCAGTAGTCTGCATAACAGCAAATCTTCCATTTTTTGTGTGAATAAAAATTCAAAATGTAAAGCAAGCGTAATATAAGAGGGGCCTGGAGACATGACTAACGAACAGAGAAAATGTTATTTTAGTGTTAGGAATGTTTGTATTGTTAATTCTGGCTCCTATTTTGAAATACTTGAATTGTGAATGAAATTGACTAAATTACCAATTTCTGATCACTTTAAATAACAAAAAAAGGGCACAATACCGGGACTGGAACGATACACAAATAACCCGAACATAAAAGAGAGAAGCTTACGACGACGTTTCGGTCCGACTTGGACCATTTACAAAGTCACACTAACCAGAAGTGGAGCAGGACGGCTATATATAAGCAGGAAGAGGTGGTGGTAGTAGTAGTAGTAGTAGTACAAGAATGGTATATAATACCGACAAGATGAAATTAAGACACATGCTCAACACCCGGGCATCCCTATCGTAGACATTTCGCCATCCAGCCAGCCACTGGATGGCGAAACGTCTACAACAAAGACACCCAGACGCCGCACATGTGTCTTAATTTCATTAGTGATGGTGGCAGCAGCAGCAGCAGCAGTAGTAGTAGGGAATAAGGAGGACGAGCCAGTCAAATACAAAGGAAGGGGAGCACTGCAAGGGAGCTAGGTGCCTACAGAGGGAGAGCAAGCGCACAGTGGTGCGTGAAAGGGGAAGTGGTGAAATAAATGAAGAAGGAACAGAAACACGAGACAGAAGAGAGAAAGACAACCCAGAGGAGAAAAAGGAAAGAGGAAAGGGGAAGAGGGAGAAGAAGAAAAAGAAAAAGAAAAAATGAGGAGTTAGGTTAAGTCACGGGTGTTCTGAAGTTTGGAGCATTTTACAATGTAGTGGGAGAGGAAGGCATCTACAGAGACGAAGCCAGGGCTAAGATTCATACAAGGAAAGTTGTGTACAGGTCTCCCTCAACATTCACGTTTTCAGCTTTCGCGGGCTTCACACATTCACGAATTCCCAACCGCCAAATTCCCAGCCACCAAATTCCCAGCCGCCAAATCATATTCACGTTTCCCGCCACCTGCGAGTCCCTACTACCCTCCCACCGACCCCCGCAACTGGCAGCCAGCCCTCCCACCACTCAGTGTAGTGAGTGTTTTGTTTGTTCATTATTTGCTATTAAACTACAGTATAAATAATGTAAACCCATTCATGACTGCATATTGGAATGGCTATTTGGACAGGTATTGGACGGTGACATCATGTGTTTACTCTTGAACACAGCAAAGAATCAAACATTTCTGCTATTGCTAATAATAACAATAGTAGTAGTAGTAGTAGTAGTAGTAGTAGTAGTAGTAGTAGTAGTAGTAGTAGTAGTAGTAATAGTAATAATAATAATAATAATAATAATAATAATAATAATAATAATAATAATAATATGATATAACTGAAGAAGGAAATTGTACAAAAATACGAGAGAGTGGTTGACACATCGTCAGTGTGGCTTTGTTTATGCTGGAGTGAACATTAGTCTCCCTGCTCTTCCAAACATTTCAAAATAATTCATTGTTTGGTGCTTGTAGATTGAGTGCAACTGGAGTGGTTGAGGCAGTGGTAGAGGTGATAGAGGCAGTGGTAGAGGCAGTGGTAGAGGCAGTGGTAGAGGCAGTGGTAGAGGCAGTGGTAGAGGCAGTGATAGAGGCAGTGGTAGAGGCAGTGATATTTACTAACATATATGTTATAAATAATAATAGTAAATTATGAATAACATTTATTATTATTATTATAAATGTTATTAATATTAACATGTACTATTATTATTTATAACATATGTATATGTTAGTAAATACCACTGCCTCACCCACCCCAATGGAAATAAGTCACTCTGTCTGACTTTTTTGGGTTATCCTAGGTTCTCTACACATATGCTGCTATGTATGATAATTCTATGTAACTGTATTTGTGTATACCTGAATAAACTTACTTACTTACACTGCCTCTATCACTGCCTCAACTGTTGAATTATTGTGAAATGTTTGGAGGAGCAGGGAGACTAATGTTCACTCCAGCATAAACAAAGCCACACTGACGATGTGTCAACCACTCCCTCGTATTTTTGTACAATTTCCTTCTTCAATTATATCGTATTACTATTATTATTATTATTACAGCGGACCCCCGCATAGCGACCTTAATCCGTGCAAGAGGGCTGGCTGTTATGCGAAATGTTCGGTATGCGAATGAATTTTCCCCATAAGAAATAATGGAAATCAAATTAATCCGTGCAAGACACCCAAAAGTATGAAAAAAAAATTTTTACATGTTAATTTTAATACACACAAACTGAAAAAGGCATGCACAATTACATGACACTTACTTTTATTGAAGATCTGGTGATGATTGATGGGATGGGAGGAGAGGAGAGAGAGTGTTAGTGTTTAGAAGGGGAATCCCCTTCCATTAAGACTTGAGGTGTCGAGTCCTTTTCTGGGGTTACTTCCCTTCTTCTTTTAATGCCAATAGGACCAGCTTCAGAGTCACTGGACTTCTTTCGCACAACATATCTGTCCATAGTGGCCTGTACCTCTCGTTCCTTTATGACTTCCCTAAAGTGTTTCACAACATTGTCAGTGTAATAGTCACCAGCACGGCTTGCAATAGCTGTGTGAGGGTGATTTTCATCCATGAAGGTTTGCACTTCAAGCCACTTTGCACAGATTTCCTTAATCTTTGTAGTAGGCAATTTCTTCAATTTCTCTCTCCCCTCCTTCGAACCAGTTTCCTCAGGTCTGGCCTCTTGCTGTTGAAGTTGATCTAGCAGCTCATCAGTGGTTAGTTCTTCATTGTCCTCCTCCACCAACTCTTCCACATCATCCCCACTAACCTCCAACCCTAAGGACTTTCCCAATGCCACAATGGATTCCTCAACTGGCATAATCCTCTCAGGGTTAGCCTCAAACCCTTCAAAATCCCTTTTGTCTACACATTCTGGCCACAGTTTCTTCCAAGCAGAGTTCAAGGTCTTTTTAGTCACTCCCTCCCAAGCCTTACCTATAAGGTTTATACAATTGAGGATATTAAAGTGATCTCTCCAAAAGTCTCTTAGAGTCAGTTGAGTTTCTGAGGTCACTACAAAGCACCTTTCAAACAGAGCTTTTGTGTACAGTTTTTTGAAGTTTGCAATAACCTGCTGGTCCATGGGCTGCAGGAGAGGAGTGGTATTAGGAGGCAAAAACTTCACCTTAATGAATTTCATGTCCCCATAAAGTCGCTCTGCCACGTCTGTAGGATGACCAGGGGCATTGTCTAACACCAGGAGGCACTTAAGTTCTAATTTCTTTTCAGTTAGGTAATCTTTCACATTGGGGGCAAATGCATGGTGTAACCAGTCATAGAAAAAGTCCCTAGTGACCCATGCCTTACTGTTTGCCCTCCACAGCACACACAAATTTTCCTTGAGGACATTCTTTTGCCTGAACGGTCTGGGAGTTTCAGAGTGATACACTAATAAAGGCTTCACTTTGCAATCACCAGTAGCATTGGAACACATGAGAAGAGTAAGCCTGTCTTTCATAGGCTTATGTCCTGGGAGTGCCTTTTCCTCCTGAGTAATGTAGGTCCTGCTTGGCATTTTCTTCCAAAACAGGCCTGTTTCATCACAATTAAACACTTGTTCAGGTTTCAGTCCTTCACTGTCTATGTACTCCTTGAATTCCTGCACATATTTTTCAGCCGCTTTGTGGTCCGAACTGGCAGCCTCACCATGCCTTATCACACTATGTATGCCACTACGCTTCTTAAATCTCTCAAACCAACCTTTGCTGGCCTTAAATTCACTCACATCATCACTAGTTGCAGGCATTTTTTTAATTAAATCCTGATGCAACTTCCTAGCCTTTTCGCTTATGATCGCTTGAGAAACGC